TCTTCTAACAATCACGTTAAATTTTAGAGAATTTGAGAGAGAAGAAATAGTTCAAAATATAGTAATACACTGCAAATTTTTAATTTCCAAATAAATAATTGTTATTAAATATAATACGTTATTATAAATAAATATCAGTCGGAATAATTATTTCGGACGTCTTTTGCATTAATAAACTTTTTTTTTAAGTTAACCAATGAGCAGAGTATCTAAACTCAATGTTTTTTTGAAAAACATCTTCAAGATATCTCATAAAGAAAAAAATATCTTAAAACTGTCTTATGCGTCGATTTTCCGTTTATTTGGCAATTTTTAGAAATTAATATCTGGTTAACTATTGCGAAAATTACAAATTACTGATAGAGAAATTCTGATTCAATTTTCGCTCTACCTGTTCACGAAATTATACATTACCAGACATCCTGTATACATACAATTATATATGAGTACTGCACTTATTTATAGTAGAACATTACTTCGCATCGAATTAAATTTTTGAATGTTAAAAATGATGCCGTAAGCCAAAAAATTGTAGCGTTAGGTTTCCAACATAATTAAGTTTTAATGTTTAAAAAATGACTTTTTTTATGACATTCTTTTATAAAGAAAGTTAACGTTATTTTGAAATTTTTATTAAAATTTGTTGTTATGATGAATGTTTTGTTCATATCCTATAAAATGCATTTTTTTTAATTTCAGTATCTTATATATTTTATAGTCATGCAACAAAGAATTTTAAATACAAGATTTTTCTGAGATACAAATTTGTGACTATCGAGAAACGATATAAATCATATAATCTTTTTTTTAGAAATGTGTACGCGCGTGCGTGTACGTGTAGTGTACTATACGTATATACACATATATAGCGGAATCTATAAAGATAAACTACATTGTGTGTATCGATAGTCACAAACTAGAAATTATAAGTATAATGATTTCATTGTTAAAGGCAGAAAATTTATTATCTTAGAAAAACTCTGTACTTGAATCTTTCATAATATTTTTCATAAAAAAGTAAGATATTAAGATAAAAAGAATACATTTTGTAGAGGATAAACAATACATTCATGACTTCTGATTACAATCGATTCGAGATAACGTTAATCTTCTTTTACAAGAACATTTTAAACAAAAGAGTCATTTTTGGCCACATTAAATCTCAGTTATTTCGAAAACCTGAAACCTGTGCTAGTGAAATATAACTTACGACATCGTTTTCAGCATCCAAAAAATCTATAAAAATACCTTATCTGATTAAAAGAAACATTTTTTTGTAAATTAATCTTTATTTACATCTTTGTGAATGTAGCACCAAATCTATTTATCGACACTACGATTTTATCGACAATGGCGAAAATGTGAAACGTAGTTCATATTAATTTATAAAATTGATGTTGCCGCTAGCGTATGATGACTTTCGCCTGTCACGTGAAAAAGACCGCCATGGCCCCTCTTAGGTTTCTCTCTGATGATAGTAAGGCACTATATATTGAGCAGAGCTCTTTATTGATGGAATATGTAACGTCAACCAATAGAACATTATCCAACTCAAATGAACAAATCCGCTCGGGTCGAAAACGCTATAAAATAATTTAAATGAAAATTACTAGTTTATTATTTCATTCGTCTGTTCGATTTGCTTACACTTTTTATATTTAAAATAAGATAGATATATATTTGTCGCTGAAAAGAGAAAAAGCGAAAATGCTAAGTGGTAAAAGGCGTAAGCAAGTCGAACAGACCTCATACCTCAAGTCCATGGTGTAACTAGACTATTGATGTTTTTAGAACGGTATTGTTAGCAGAAGAGCGTCTTTCAGATCTACAAGAATGACTAAGCATATTTATCGAGAAAACGCAAAAGACAGAAAGATTTGGGCATTTTCGAGGCTATTTTGTTCTCGGCCCTGAAAAACTATCAAATTGAAAATAATCATGGATGGGAAGAGATCGATTAAGATGGTATGTAACCATGATTTACTTAGCGTCTTTTTTTTCTTTCTCTCTGTCTCTCTCTCTCTCTTCTGATATTTTAAAAATACATTCACAAGGAGCAAGAGTTAATAAAGTGTATAATTTTCCATTATTCATCTTACATGATAATTATGAAAATGTGCTTTTACTCTTCAATTTTGATGAAATTGATGAAGGCTGAGTTGACGTGTTTTTTTTACGTCAACGTAACATAAACAAATCTAGCAGATAAAAGTTGCTCGTGAATCAAGATATTAAGTATTAAAGTTGACGACTATTCAGGTTAGGAAATCTGTCACATCGATAGCATAGATAGAGGAAGTAAGTGTAGCTAGAATGAGACTTATAGATAGAGGACGTAAGTGTGGCTAGAATGAGACTTTCTGCTTCAATTACACAAATTTTCTGCTTTAAAAACAAAAATTATAAAAAATGGTTTGTTTTTGAAAACAAAAAATTTGTATTTTTGAAGCAATTTGTGTTTTTAAAGCAGAGAATTTATTTTTAAAGTAAAGAATTTGTGTTTATAAAACAGAAAATTTATGTAACCCTTTGTGTCATCGTTGTGACAGATTTCCTAATCTGAAGTCATTAATACTTATTAGAGAAGTTTTTTTCAATATCGTTTATCCAAATACAGTGAACGCTAAGGTCAAGTTATCTTCTTCTTAACAATCAATTAAGGAAAAGATAATGTGTGACTTTAGTGTTCATATTATTGCAAAAACTCCCTGATATCTTGGTTTTTGGGATGAGCGATATTTTTTTCTACTATATTCGTTCATTTCGTATAAAAACGCGTCAAATGAGTCTAATTTCATCAAAATTGATGAGTGAGCTTGTCTCTTTTTCATAATTATCTCTCGAATAAAGAATAATTTTTTCATATTCAAATAAAGCAGCTAATTTCAATATTACACTTCACATAAGGCTGTTTCCATTAAGTAATTGTATTTTTTGTATTACCTGTTGATAGGATCCACTGTCACCTGGCCCATGTCTAGACATTAGTGACGATGAACTTGTTACAATATCAGTACGGGATTTAAACAGACAGTTGAAATTACGAGGACTGTCCAGAGAGGAAATTGTACGTATGAAACAAAGAAGGCGCACACTGAAAAACAGAGGCTATGCAGCCAGTTGTCGTATAAAACGTATCGAGCAAAAGGATGAATTGGAATCTGAAAAGACGCAAGAATATCGCGATATGGAAACTATGCAGGAGGATAACAATCGTATGAGGGAAGAGATAGATTCCTGGCATTCAAAGTATCAAGCACTCAAAAAGTTTGCTCAAGAAAAAAAAATTATTATTCCACCAGATTTGGAAAACATATAAAATA